TCTAGAAATTTCTTGAATTTTTCTATGTTATCAGCGGATACCACTGCTTGTGGAAGGGAATTCCACATTTTTACTACTCGCACAGTAAAAAAAAACCCTTGCACATTTTAAGATTAAACCCCCTCTCTTCTAACCTCTTGTGTCCACGAGTTCTCAGTACTGTTCTTGGTGAAAACAACTTGTTCGAACATTGTTGTCCCCATTGATAATTTTGAAGACTGCAATAAGGTCCCCTCTTAATTGCCTCCTTTCTAAGGAGAATACATTTTATTGTTGGAGGCTGTCTTCATAGCTCAGGCCTTCAATCCCTTTAATTAACTTTGTGGCCCTTCTTTGAACTCTCTTAAGCTCAAGAACATCCTTCCTGAAAGTTGGCGACCAAAATTACACCACATACTCAAGATGAGGCAGAACCAGTGATTTCTAAAGTGGAAGTATTATTATCTTATTGCTTGCTACAATCCCTCTTTTAATGCATGGCAGTATCCTATTTGCTTTGCTGGCTGTTGTTTGGCATTGCATGCTATTACCAAATCTGTGATCTATGAGCACCCCCAGGTCCTTTTCCATGTCTGCCTTCCCTATTGCAGCCCCCCAAAATAGTAGTTTGTGGACTCGTTCTTTGCACTCATCTGTTTAACGTTACATTTTTCAACATTAAATCGCATATGCCAATGTGTAGACCATGCTTCAATTTTATCCAGGTCTTGTTGAAGTGCACATGTCTCCTGTTTAGAATGTATTGCCCTACATAGTTTTGTATTGTTGGCAAAAATGGAAATCGAACTATCTATCCCAAGTTCTATATCGTTGATGAATAGGATAAACAGGAATGGTCCCTGGACAGACCCCCTGGGGCACTCCACTCCCGACTTTTGCCAAATTAGAGAACGACCCATTTATTACTACCCTCTGGGTCCGTTCTTGCAGCTAGTTTTCCCCCCATGTGCAAACAGTTTCCTCCAAACCTATAGACCTCAGTTTGTTAATCAAATGTTTGTGGGGTACTGTATTGAAAAAATCAGCAAAAACTACATCTGCTGGTATTTCTCTGTCTAAATTATTACTGACTTCCTGTTAATAGATTGGTCTGACACGAACAGTCCTTCATGAAACCATGTTGTTTTCTACTTATGACACCAGTTTTATTCGCAAATTCCTGCATGTACTGTAGTCCCTTATCATGTCTTCGACACCCAGATGCCACCCCCCCTTTTGTGAATGAATAAGGGGGGTACTTGTACCCCAACTTATTCCTTAAAGGGTTAAATAAAATGTAAATAAACACACAACACCTTAGTAAAAATTCCTTTAACTGAACAAAAAACAAAACATGAAAGTTTTACATATTTCCTTTATTTAAAATAAATGTAAAAAATGTCCCAAGAAGTAATTCCAGCGTCAGCCGCCAATTGAAAGAAAAAAAAATCCCAGATGCAATGTTTACAATTTATTGGTTATTTACCTTGAAATACCCAATAGCAGGCTGGCTAGTGCTCCGTCCACTGCCAAGATGCAGATGACTCCCCCTGCCCACAGACACCCCCAACCACTGGTTCAGGTTTGTTGGGAAGAGGCCCTTGTCCCCATCGGCATGGGGACAAAGGGCTTTTCCAGGGGGTGTCTCAGAATGAGTTTGTCAGTAACATTAATAAATGTTCATGCAAAAGTTGCCATATCTGTGCACAACCTTAGACAGCTAGTTTAACCTATTTTAAGTTGCTGTTGATGGAGGCTGCCAGAAGTCATCTGGTATGTAGGTGCCTTGTACTGAAGATGTAGATGGACCCCATTACAGCTTTATCTGCATTTTCTATGGTGGATATGGGGCTGAGGAACTTTTTTCTCTAGTATTAGTGCTGATTTACTGGCCCTTTAAGTAATAATGTGTACGTAACATATAAGACGTGATTGCCAATAGCTACATTTCCCTTAAGCTGCTTTGCTAGTGGGCAGAGTTATTAGGAATCGTCTTTATACTGCACACTAGAAGACAAACACGAGTGAAATATGATGTTTGTGAAAGCTGAAATGTAGAGAATGGTTAGGGTGATTAAAAAGGCCATAAAATATAATACGTTCGTACCAATTTAATATTTAATGATCTTTTTTTGCCAAATCTGAGGAAAACAAATTTGTCATACCATTTGTCTGCACTTAAAGGTACTTTTTTTGCAAAAGCTAATTTTTTGTTCTGTGCTGAAATTGTTTTACAGTTCTGCAAAGCTTCCGCAGCAAACTTTTCTTTAGGGGTCCATTTAGATCTATGCATCGGCACAGAGGTACATTTTTTGTTGCGTCACGTATCAATGTGCTTTTCCCTTGTGTGTTGATAAAGATTTTGACACTGGTTCCAATGTGTTTATTAAATGAGTATATTAGCTACATAGAGTTATTGACTAAGGCTCCGTGTTGCCATTGACTTCAATGGGCATTTCAAAGCTCCGTTCACACCTAGGCGCTTTGTCGTGACAAAACACTCAAGACAAGGAATCCCATTCATTTCTAAGGCCCCTGTTTACACCTGAGCATTCTGTCGTGTGTTTTGTCGAAAAAAGTTTTCCATTGAAGTCTATGGGACCAATCTGCCAAAAAGTAGTTCTTGTACGTTTCCAGCGGCAGCCATTTTTCTGCTTGAGCCAAAACGATCAGGTGTGAACAGGAGCCAAATAAATGAATGAGCTTCCTTGTCTTGAGCGTTGTGTTGTGCTCATCTTTGAGCGACAAAAAAAACAGATATGTTGTATTTTTACAGCACTGCGATGGGAACAGCCTCTGTCTTTATTATGGGAAACCACGGCACATACGTTTTGGAACACGGATGTTAAAATGCAATAGTGTAAATAGGCCCTAAAGGGAATCTATAATGGGTCTTGCACATCTTTTTTTTATTTATTCATTATGGTCAGGAGTGAAAATGTTTTTCTTTTTAAACTTTTTAGTCAGTTAAATATTAAATCTTTCATATTTCGTGCCCTGCTTTTGAGCTATCATTTAAAGCTTGTTAAAATGTTTACACAGTACAATGACACTAATGATCTACCAATCTGACTCAAGGTAGGAAGGAACAACAGTGCTCTGAAAATCCTTCATCTTGTATCAAATGTATATTTGTAAAATAAAGTGTATGTATAGTAAAAACAAATATAAAATAGCTGTTTTAAAATATTAAGACTTCAAAATACAACTAAAATAAAATTAACCAAAATCATATTTTTCTCTATTTAATACATCAGTTGCTGAAATGATTGGTAATGCTCTGTGTATACAACAGTGCAAACAGCAAACTTGATCTATTGATAAGTATTTAATAAAATACAAATACATATTAAATAATAGCGTTGATAGTTATCCATGAATATTACTGTATACTGTTTACTTATTGTAAATTGTTGTTTTTCCATGTTGAAGAAAATCTGTCATTCTGCCCATTTGAAAAAACAACCCCCTGCCTACTAAGACTCCTTCCATGCTCCCCTACAGCTCAATTGCTGCATCAAAGCCTATAGAAAATACAGTAATTGGTACTTCTGAGAATGGGGAACATTGTGACTCCTGCCCTATTTCCCAGGCTAGACCTGAGTAACCAATCACCAGACTTGAACACTGTCGCAAATGTAAGATAGGAAGTCATAAACCCTCTGTAAGCTTGACGCCATCCCACATGGAGCTTAAATAGGTTTCGCAACTCCAGGCTCTGATAGCAGAAAAGAGAGGCGACAGAGCACAGGTAGGGTGGGTATCATTGGACGGAGCAATGTTCTTTTAAGAGATTTTGTCATTTTTCCCTAAATACCCTAACGGGTAGTAATTAGTCTCTTTAAAGTGGACCTCTACCCCCTTTCACTAAAACATGTAGCTCTGCATGCTCATATAAAAGCATCCTACATTCATTAATTAAACAAGTATGCTGTTCATTTATTTACAAATAGAGTTCATTTACTTCCTGGTCCACTTTGGCACACATGATGTAATGTGCCCAAGCGTTACATCCTGGGAAGGTTACATCAGCAGAGCATTGCTGGGAAATCTCATCTATAATCTCAGGAGATCTCAGGGAAAGGCATTTTCCTCCCACTGTGAGAAGAATGGAGAAGAAAAAAAATAAGTTATGCAAATAATATAACACCTGCAATTATCTAGAAGTATGTTTTTGTAGATTTTCATTACTAAACATTTCTAAAGGTGCCTTTGTTGTTATTCTAAAGATAGCCATAAAGTTCCTCTTAAAGTGTTATGTTGTTTGCAGTAACATACTTTGATCTTAGGTTTTGGCGAGCATGAGAAGAAAGTAGCATCATTCCAAGGTCACAGAAATGCAAAACATTTTCTATATGTACTGTACATCATGATTTCAAGGGCTCATGTCTCTAGGTGTCTAAGCACGCCATAGTCACTTAACTTGTCACTGTACAAAGTAATATGTTTAGACAGATGACAGTGAATATGCATTCAAGCATCTTTGGTTTTCCTACGTGTCTTAGGCAGATAATTTGCCATTGCTTACTAACTACCTTACTGGGTAAAGGCCTTTAGGAGCAGTAACCCATAGCAATCATTTAGAATCCCCTGTGAACTAGTCTGACTTCATCAGAGTGAATGGTGAGTGGATGCTATGAATTTTGGAATGAGAACTGTATACAGAATAACGCTTTTTCTTTTACATAATTGCACACAGCAATTTTCTTAAATGATATATAAAGTGGTAGGGGGATTTGTTTCCCTAATTGTTTGTTTGGATTAGGAACAAGTCGCTTGTCAATAAGAGGTTTAAGATACCTGGTAAAGAAACTAAGTAGAAGAACTAGCAGGTCCCTTCCAGCCATACCCTTATGGTGACAAAGAGGTTAACCTGTACATTCATCCACAGAATGATCAATGAAAACACTTACGATCAGAGCCTACCCATCTGTCCCTTTAGTATCCATTGCTGACTATACAACCATCCATCTTTACTCTTGTGTATTGACCAACTGGTCGCCTTATTGTTTTTCCCACAGGGGACTGTATCGGCCATCTTAACCAAGTGTACAAGGGATGAAGGATTTATTCCCGTCAATAAAAACCTCTGGTAAGTGCTACTGAACCCAAGTGGAGCATCACTATAACAAAGCCTCATCATTATTCAGTCTAAACTTAGCCATTAACATCCCTTTAAATTCCCTCTCCCCATAACTAGAGGGGCCATGCAGTGCCCAGAGGCATTATTACTGTTACACTTGTTTTCCTGTATTAATTAAAATGACATTCTACACTTTCTCCTGTTTTATTGTACACATATATTTTAATTATTAAATGACATTTTACATCTTTACATATTAATTATACGTGTAGTCCATTTACTGTGCAGTTGGTTCATTAAGTTTCCTTTTTTATACAGCAATGTCATATTTTACTGCATTTCCAGAAGACTATTTCAGTGGCTCCAAAGTGGCGCAGGAATATGGCTTCTTGGTAGAATCTTGAAAGAAGGACATTACTTCGAAAATAAAATTCACTGCAGGGTTTTAGTATGTGGAATTTTCTGCTTTGTATCAATAAACATAAAGACTGGTATATTCCAGCTATTTAGTATAATATTAGTTACAAAATGAACATTATCTTCAATATAGATACATATAGATGATCAAAGCATTACGTATCTCAGTCATTGTCAATGTACTGTATATTTATATACTTGTATATGTGTCAATGTATATTTACTGTATATAGTAGAACTGGAGGATTAAAATGCAAGGGAACCCAGACTGGATGATGTTTAGTTTGCAAAAGCAGTTTTTTTCATAAACTTCTTGTTTAATTTTTTGTTACATCTCAGCTCTGCTGATATTCTGCAGCCACTTCCTGTCTAAATACATGCACTCGATCTTTGGCTGCATGGCATTTCTCAGGGTGGATTTCCTGATAGTGACAACAGCAGACCATGCCATTGCAGTTTGTGTCTATACAGCCTCCATATGTAGCCTCCATTAGAAGCCCATGTTACAGGCAAACAATACAAGAGTGCAAATGGTAGACAGAGACAGGGCATTGTCAACCTAAAACAGGAGGTACCTATTCCTGAACAAGGGCCTTCATAGCAGACCATGTATTATGTTAATGAAAGCTGCAGATTTAAAAAGATTGAAAATCACTTTTTAAATTACAGTAACATGTTAAAGATTGAATGAGATTTTAATGGTTGGGTTTACATGTACATTTCATTCTTACAGTATACCAGCCAGCATCAAGAGATTGTTACCATATGTACTATTATGGCCCAGATTTATTCTTGAATAAGGCCCTTTCACAGGGTTTGATTAGAAGGGGATCCATTTGTTTTTCCGGATCGGGCCGGAGCCGGGGTAACCGGATGTAAATGAATGCCTGTCCATTTCGATCTGGCTGCCTATAGACTAATATTGGGTTGCCAATCAGGTCCTCCTGAAAAACTGAAGCGGACCTGATCAAAAAGTCTGTGTGAATGGGCTCTAAGGGTCACAGCTAAAAACCCATCAGCCAAGGGCCCTGTACGGATTGCACCCTTTGCTGCTCTCGTAGCACTTAAAAGACTCAGCTATATGATTTCCACAACCATCTATCCACAAAGCTGGATGATGTGAAAAGGTATGACACAACTGGCAATGTCACTGAAAAACACCAACGTCCACCAATCAATAAAACACCATGGCACACTTTTTTCTTTTTCTCATTGAAATCTGTCCTATCCATGAAAGGACTTGCTTTGTTTGCCCCCAGGCCCAAAGTTCCCAACCTTTTCTTGCTCCCAGTTTGAAACGTGGCACCCGGGACATTCCTCCCAGAATGACACCCTAGTTACTATTTTGCATAAAAGTCATTGTGAGGATATAATAATGCACAATGATTGATACAGTCATTGAGTCCAGAACACCCCACCACAGTAACTATATCCAACAGGATGAAGGGGGGTTCCGAACAACTGAAAAACATTTACTACAACCACTAGTTTGTATGTTTTAAAATATAGTTCTTAAACAGAACAATATTGTGTATCTATGTATTTGTACCAGCTGTAGCAGAAGGCAAGGCATGTTGAAACTACCTGCCAATAATTTACAGCGCTATGCCTTAGTGCTTACTGATTCTCCAGAGGAATTGATCCCTTTTGGACTCTAGTAACCCTATCATTATGACCCAGTAAACTATGTTCATTAGGTTAACCGCAGCTGATATTTCTGTTGAACAGATAAAATTATATAGTCAACATAAACCATTAACTTGAAAATGGACAGTACTCTTTCCTGCACTTAGATAATTTTTAAATTGTTTGTAGAACTCTATAGCCAAGGAAGTGCTAAGGAGTGTCATCACTCCTGCCATACCAAAATAAACAAATGTCTACGAATATACTTTTATCCTTAAAATAATTGGATAATAAAACAAGGATTGTGGCTAGGCATATGTTCATTTGTGAAGACTGTGGAGCTGCTAAAGGACCATCTGGGGTTTAGAGTCACATATACATAAGATGTGGGTCGGGCAGGTGCTAGGACTCCTTCCTGCTGTCACTTTGACCACGGTACTGCTTAGTTGCAGGGCAAGTAGGAAGTGGGAGGCACTTTTCATGATGTCCCAAATCTGCTCCCAATTTGTATTACCCAGGTGGTGCTAGGCAGTGAGCACCTTCCTCACTGCCTGTCCTATTTGTACCATGACATGCAGATTGCTTCTCCTGTTTTCCTGTTCTCCTGTCTGATGCCATTTAGGCATTTGCTAAATATTCTCTCCAGACCATAATATGGAACATAACAGAGTTTCAGGCATCACAAAATGTCACTATCTATCTATCTATCTATCTATCTATCTATCTATCTATCTATC